ACCCCAACCCCAGTTCTGGGCACCCCCTGACCCTCCTGCCCCACTTTTGGGGTCTCCCCTGACCCTCCTTGGCCCACTTTTGGGGCCCCCCCAACCTGTTTTCGGGGCCCCTCCTGACCCTGTTTTTGGGCTCTCCTTGGCCCTGTTTTTGGGGCCTCTCCTGACCCCATTTTTGGGGTCTCCTTGATTCAGTTTTGGGGTCTCCCCCACCCCGGATTCGGAGCCCCTCCTGACCCCGTTTTTGGGGTCTCCCTGGCTCTGTTTTGGGGCCTCTCCTGACCCTGGTTTTGGGGTCCCTGAGCGGTTTTTGGGGGGCAGGAGGTGATCGAGGCCATCGCCGAAAGCGCCTTCAAGACGTCGCCGTTCCCGGTGATTTTGTCCTTCGAGAACCACGTGGACTCGTGAGTCCCCAAACCTGGGGGGCCCCAAACCCCCTGGGACCCCAAAACCTCCCCTGGGACCCCAAAACCCCCCCTGGGCTCACCCTAAACCCTGCTGGGGACCCCAAACCCCCTGGGACCCCAAAACCCCCTCCTGGGGCCCCAAAACCCCCCTGGGCTCACCCTAAACCCTGCTGGGGATCCCAAACCCCCTGGGACCCCAAAACCCCCCCCCAGGGACCTCAACTCCCCCCTTGGGATCTCGAAACCCCCCTGGGCTGACCCCAAACCCACTGGGGGCCCCAAAACCCAAGGGGGGACCCCCAAACTTCCTGGGAACCCTCAAATCAGGGGAACCCCAAAATCCCCCTGGGGGACCTCAAACCCCCCCCCCCCTTGGACTCACCACAAAACCGCGCTGGGGGACCCCAAAACTCGGGGTTTTTTGGGGTGGTTTTGGGGTGATTTGGGGTCCCCAGGCCAGCTGTCCATGGAGGGGTTCTGGGGGAGTTTTTGGGGTGATTTTGGGGTGGTTTTGGGGTGGTTTTGAGGTGATTTGGGGTCTCCAGGCCAGCTGTTCACGGAGGGGTTCTCGAAGTGTTTTGGGGTGATTTTGGGGTGTTTTAAGGGTGATTTTGGGGCCCTAAAGCTGGGAGGGGGGTCTGTGGGGTTTTGGGGGACCCCCCAGCACCCCAAAATTGTCCCCCCAGGGCGAAGCAACAGGCGAAAATGGCCGAGTACTGCAGGAGCATCTTCGGGCCGGCGCTGCTGACGGAGCCCCTGGACAAGTACCCGGTGGGGCTGGGGGG